GAAATTAATAGCTGAAGACGTATAGCATAACTTTATTTGTAACCTAAATAAATCTCTATATGCATCGATAAATGTCCAGGGTTTAATCAATAGTCATTTTTTTAAAAAATATAATTTTAAGTTTGCTAATATGTTAATAGTATATAAGGTGCGCATACATTAAGTACTGTATTTAACTTTTAAACTTATAATGCATTAAATTGTATGATTATAAGTATGAGTTTTGAAGTATGAAAAAACCAAATTGAAGTAATTGTAATAATAACCTATTTTTCCTGGACTTATAAGTGGCGCAACTATATTTCTAATTTTATTAGTTAGCATCACTTATGATCATATCAAATTTACAATATAGTATTGGAATTTTATATTAAATTGTTAAAAAATTTGCATTTTGGTTAAATAAATGAAAGCGTTGCAAAAAAAAAATTTTTTTAATATATTGCTCAAAGCTAAAGGTTTATCGTATATACAGTAAATCTTATTCTCCTAAATCTTCGATTATATTTAAGGCTAAATTTAATCTCCAATGAATAAATAAAAATGATTTTATATCAGAAATGTGATTTCTCATTAAAATTTCAATTTAATAAAAAATGTAATTTTTAGAAATTAACCCAACGCCAGGATTATATTCTAACTCTATACCAATTTTATTTATTTCTTTTTGTTATGATGGTGACAGATGCAATTATTGTGGACTTGCATTTTCTAGAACAATTTATGGTTCAAACAAATATTGCAAATATTGCAAAAGTTTTTTAACTTGGTATATTAAGTATTTATCCGGTAATATAATAATACATACTTGGATGCTCGTAATACTCATGGTAGTGAACATGAACCAAAAATCAAAGAATGTACCACACATAATATTCAGGAGTGGTGTCTAAATTGCTCAGAAATTTTATTTATTTTATTAGACAAATTAAACTTAGGGATAGAAGAATTTTGGATAGAAGAATTTATGCTGAGATGACCTTTAAACGCACATAAAGCTTCCTCTCTGTGGAAAATGTTTACCTGGAAAATATTTAATTGGTAGTCATAAGTGTCTTGATTATTACTCATTTTCTTTTGGATTGACAGAATCAACAGTCATCAAAGAACTTAATCCAATTATTTATTTTCCGTGGTGGAATACTTCGAAAAAATTATAACTTGCGCACATACCCTGCAAACTGAAACAGATTGTCAAAAATGTGTTCATATTTTACAACACTTACGGGATGTAGATATTGTATAACGATAAATGTTATTTTTGGAATTATCGATATATCTCAGTTTAATAAATGCAATCGAATAGTATTAATTACTATTGGTTTTACAGATTTTGTTAGTGGAAATGATGATATTTTAAATAAATTTTTTCTTTGAAACAAAATTTATTTTCAATTATCGAATTTTTGACATTGACATTAATAATTTTGAAATTTTTGTTTCCCTTAATACAATTTATCATGAGCGTGAGACTTTGGAATTCACCAATGGAATGGATTCCATATACTCAAATTACAAGTTTAGAAAAAATTGCAGAAGGAGGATTTAGCATAGTTTATCGAGCAACTAGCATAGCAATTTTAGTGAAGTCATTGCGATAAAAAAAAAAAATTTTTTTTCTCAAAATATCAGCAAATGTTTTTTAAACGAGGTAATAATTTAAAATTACTAATAATATACATTTTTTACTTAGTATTATATTAAATGATTAGCTATTATTATAATTTAGTTTAGTTATTATTAATATATCTTTGTAACGGTAACACTAACGCGAGCATTTTAAGCATGTTATTCGATGTAATGGAATTGTACAAGAGTCTGAGACAAAGGAATTTACGTTAATGAAGATGTATGCAAATGGAGGAAATTGCATAATTATTTGCAAAAAAATTTCAAAGGTATTTACATGGGTATATAAATTAAGTAGGCCAGACACTTAATATCTCCCATAACATCTCTCCAACATTGTAAACGTCACCTTTCTCATTGTTTCGATATATTGTCATTTTTTCTCCATCTACAAAAACTTTTTGACAGATTAGTTGCCGCTTCAATTTTGTCGATAAGCCAAAGGTCTGCTAGTTTAATAACACCTTGATGAATTAATATATTGTCGAAATGCTATTAAAAATATTTCTATTAATGAACAGTAAGATTTTTAATAAATAAATAAAGAAACATATTATTAAGATTACCAAATCACGACGTACGATTCCTTTGCCATGTAAACATGATACGGCATAAGTTAATTGGTATGCAAAGTTGTATTTATAATCCCAAGATTGACAAAATTCAAATAATTTCTAAGAGTACCGTTATCAGCATATTCCATTACAACAAATATTTTTTTAACTTATCATATTGATTTCTAATTTTTTTTTATATTTTAAAAATATATAAATTCAAGGTAAAAAGTCAATACATATATATATATATATATAAGATTTATACCATTGCAATGAAAATCAACTTCCCGTTGATGTTCAAACCAAGTTATTACGAATATAAATTTTATGAAATAAATATTGTATTTTGCAATTATCTCACGAATATGTATTTTAACAGTGGCATTGTTAAAGTAATGAAATGTTTTTAATGTAGGAGTCGTTTCGAACGTTTCCAATTGCACGATAAACTTTTCCAAGGCTGGATGTACCACTTACTTGAAAAGTACTAAAATTTATGTGTTCGTAGTATTTGATATATTGCTTGAAAATATATTCTTCTATTAACTCATTTAAATTGTTCGAAGTTTGCATTTTATTTTTTTTTTTAGCGAGCGAAATAAAAAAGAGTTTTGGAAAAAAGAAACGCAATCGGTAGTTCTTGTAAACATTTCTAAGCCACAATAAATGAATTATTAAACCGACCTTTGTTGAAAATGATGTGTCATTTTATTCAATGTAACTACAAAATTTTATTGATGAATTTATTGTAATATTTTTTATTTCCAGGAGTAATTTTGTAGATTTTATTCTTTGATAATAGTTTTAGTATAAGAATAATAAAAATAAAGAAGAAAATGTTATAATGAAAGTAAACTTACACATTAATAAATTACGTAAAATTTAACTTGAAATAACTTATTATGCTCCAATTTTGAACCCAGGTCCGACTTGGAAGCCTCAATTAATATTTAAAATTCAACATTAGCATGTATAAATGTTTTCGAGTTTATTAAAGTAAATTACATTATAGAAAATTATAACATTTCGAGTAATAATTATAATCTGGTCTATTTTTATTTTTTTTGATTGCAAAAAATAAGATGTTTAAAATTCCGTACTATATTTCATGCTTTTAAAATTTATTTCTTTAAATATTTCTGGAAAGTTATCGTTATTATTACGGTAAGACGTAAATGAGTAGACTCACTGAGTAATGATATAATTGATGTTGATTGAGTATGACATTTTCACACTTAATTGTTTTAATGATATTTTTTTTTCATCGCCGTTTATTTGAATTGTAACAATGAAATTTTTTGACGTAAAACGTCATTTTATTGACTAAAATAGAAAAAATTGAAAGCATTGCCTCACAGTTTTAAATATCATAATTTTATGGGTAAAGTAAGTTTTTATTTACAATTTATATTACATCATAAAGTATCAAAAATTCTTGACTTTTAAATATATATACATAACATATTGTAATTATCCTTGCTAAATTAATATTGTTTAACCTTAACTACATCCAATAAAATCATTACTTTCCAGATAACAATAATAAAATTTACGAATCTAAATTTGTCAAGTTTTAATTATCATATAAGCATTTTGTTTGTAGCTTTTCTTAGTCTAAATAAGGAATATGTGGACTCATTAATAAGTATAAACGCTTATAATACGTAGTTCTAGTTTAAAGTCATGATTATTTTATAAACAAAGGTTATTATAAATCTATCGTTATGAGAAACGATTTATGGAAAGAACCGTAAAGAAATGTTAATGACCTATGCGTATAAACAATTATAGCTTGAATCTTATATATACAACTTTCTAAGGTAGAATGATCAAAATTTAACAAATATTTGTCCAGCAACTAAAGTATATATTATACAGTAAAGTAAATAAAGAATGCTGAAAAGCTTGATTAACATTACAATAGAAAATTTTATTTTCTACTCTGTTTTACAAATTCAAATCAGACATTTTTAATCTAATAGCATATTCTAAATGCTTTATGTTTATGCTTTGCAGGTTCAATTTATATTTGAAATATTGTTTATATCTCCTAAAATAGATCGAGAATAAAAGCAAGAAAATATTCATTTTTTTTCTCTTTAGCTAAGAAGTGATTTTGTCGATCGGTGACGAATTACAAAAAAACTCACTCATTCAGCCCTTTTCTTTCCTTTAGGACCGAATTGCTTGCGCAGATTGTGGGTGAATTGGTTTCGTTCCAGGTTCCAGATGCGAGTCCCTTTCTTTTATTTGTGTCCTTTTTTCGGATCGGATGGTTTTGCGAACTTAATGTGATTCGTCTTAATTTATTCTTTTTTTTATCTTAATTTCTCCATTATTTCAGATTTGTTTAAAAAAAACCTCCTTAAATTTATAAATAAGACTTGATCTATAAACAGGCTTCAATATAAAATTCGGAAAAAGGAATTATTAGTAAAAAAAAAAAAAAACAAGAAAATACTATTGAAAGGTTCATGAGAAAGAATTTCTTAGCATTTTACGTACATAAAAAATTTAATAAATACTATCATACTTTGTATCAATCGCTTCTTTTAATGAAAACATGCAATTTATTTGCACTTTATTTTCTTTGGAACAGTGATTTGACCCGAAAAATCCTTCCTTTTTATTTGGCAATGTACTGTACATATTTATTTTTTATTTACACTTTTATCAGTAAATAAGATGGATTTCAATTTTTTTCATTAAAATGTTGAAGTAATATTTTTTATAAAATTTAGATAATACGTTACGTATTAATTATTTTTGTCATTTCTATCTGCTTCAAGAAGGAGTAGATATTAGCGTGTTAATCTATTTGAATTCTCTCAGTAAGGTCGGTAATTTATATAAAATATTTGCATAAGAACTAGAACTACGCCTTACATCTTTGATATCAAAGGCATAATAGTAAACGGTAACCGTTGTTAAAGTACGTATCGACTCAATTTTTGGCCTGACATCCGGAAATCTTGAGTCATCCTGAGTAAAATAATATAGTTCGCTACACTCCGGAAACTCTGGATTAATAACAGATACTGACACGTGAAAACTGAATAGTCTAACACGTTAAATTTGTTTTACAATTTTTATTTAAGAGGTTAGTGAATTAAGTATTAAGACTAAATATAACTCTTTATTAGTTTTTATTATAACATTAAAATTAAAAAAAAATTGTATAAATATATTGACGAAGGACAAAAGATAGACTTTTGTGATTCGATTAGATTCCTGGTCTTATTTATTCGATTTATAAACAAATATTTATTCTTGAAAGAATATTTAATCATTATTTCGTATTTACGTATTAATTATTATGATCTATTTTTTTCACGAAAAATGAATTTCTGTGATTTAACACAGAGAAAGCATTCCTTTAAAGTAACAACTATTCATTTTATAATGATATAAAATCTACTTATAACTTCAAGTAAGAACAAAGATAGTTTAGTTCAAAAAATTTATTATTACAAGCACAAAAGACTACGAATATGGTTTACAATTATTTAAATATTCATTAAAATAATTAAAGTGTTTATCTTTTATTAACTTGAAATACCTCATAATCATCTGCTTCAAACTGACTTTTTGGAATATCAATTTGAGAATAATGATATGGGTTATTCGCATTCCAAGTATTATTATAATAACCAATATCACAACCATTACCAAACATCGGACCAAATCTTGGATCACAACGTACAGCATATTGAGCATGATCATCCTTAATATAACCTACTTTTGCAGTTTGAAGATTAGTTCTATTTACAAATGAGAATATAAAACTGTCCTTAGTTGTCTTATGACCATTTCCTTCCCACCCAAACGGATTATATCCTCCCACTATTTGTTCCGTCCCGTTAATTTTTATTACGACGATATTGGCCCCATTGTTATCACATTTTTGATGAAATGCTGCAGGTGTATTACCATCTCTACTGGCACGATAAAGTAAATTAAAATCATAAGACTTCTTCTTGACCTTATTATCAATCCAGCCGGAAAATATAGCAAAATGACGAGAGTTGATTAGAATTGAATCACATTTTGACTGCCTAGGAGGTGGTAAATTAATAAATAATTTCTTATCTGGTGTCAAAGAATATGCTAGGAGCTTAATAACCAAATCCTGTGGTAGTATTTCTCCAAAAGGAAGTACTTTTTCAAGGAAATCATTTGAAGGCATATGATGAAATCTAACTAAAGGGATATACATATGAAGGGTTCTTTTCATAATTGTAGTTTCATCATTACTCCATTCTTTGACTTCTTTAGGGATAGACTGATTCTGAGCAAAACCCCATTTAATTAAACTATTCCAAATATCTACTTCTTTCAGACTTAAATCATCCCGTTTTAAAATGAATTCTAATAAAGGTGCTTTGATATTGAAAAATTTATCAGAATTAAAAAGCTCTTCGGGGTCTTCACAAATTTTTTCTAGATAAAAATTTCGTAATTTTGTGAAGGACTCATGTTGATAAATTGTTTCAAGAATTTCTACAGGGTTGTTTTGCAAAAACTCATAATGGTCTTTAATTAATTAATCTTCAATTTCAGGAACTAACGATTGAAGATTAAGTGTACCTGCCGCTTTTAAGAGTTCTAATACTTCAGTTCCTTCTAATTTAGTCATGTCAATCATTCCGCAATATATAAATCTGAAATGTAAAGAGAAATTAGTACAGATTCATATTATTGACGTAATTATAATTATTTACCTTAAAATAATTTTAAAAAGATTCAGAGAAATGTTTGGCATTTTTAAAATAAATTTCCCTTCCCTCTTCTCAACATTTTCTTTAGTTAATTCATCATAAAAATATTGCGACCTGAAACATAAAATATTTGAAAGGGCATGTAGTTCTTTAACTCTTTCGGTTTCACCGGTATAAATAATTACATCATATCTTTTGTCATTTTCCAACAACCTTTCATAATCATTCTGCAAACATTCTAAAGACATTTTTACAAATAATTGAGAATTATATATATATATATCACATTGAGAAGATATATAACTAAATTAAAACTATAATTGAGTTACACCACATTTAAGTTTTGTGTAATTAGATGATCTTTAGTGCAATGATGCATGATGAAATATCTTAAAGTTTTTTAGACTAGATTTATTTCTAACTATAACGGGTGGTCAACATCTCCGGTTCATAATATAATAATACGTGATACTTATTTTAAAAAAAATATTTATATAGGGAGAACACGATAAAAGCCTATACCCTAGGTACATTTTCAGGATTCCGTATTAAAAAACCAACCTTAACCTAATGTCACGCCACTAGATGAGGGTGGCGTCTGTGAGAAATAACTAGTGACCAATAGGTTTTTCACACCTTAAAAAAACTGTACTGTTACCAGAAAGTAAAAATTGGTGTGACGCGGTGTGATAGTTATTTTATAATCACATGACCCAAGCTTTTTAATAATAATATCACATGATTCAGTGATCGTAACACCCTGTTATTAAAAGTAAATACCTTTATAATATTGTATATGTGATTAATAAATCAAATAAATATCGTGACAATTCTTAATTTATTTCTGTTTTGTGTTAAAAAAAATGAATAAATGAAAAAATTATTTCGTTAATTAATGTAATGTATTTTCATTATACAAGAAAATAAGAAAAAAAAATAGCTTAATTATTAATTCGTCTTTTTGTAGCATTATAGTTAATTTATGAATTACCTTTGATAATTGAATAATTGATCATTTAAAATAAAAATTATCTGTATACATATTGTCAATTTCTTTGAAACTTATTTATAATAAACTCAAGATCTTTTGAAATATATTCTAATAAATAAATTTTGTTAGAACTTCTTTTATTGAGATGTCTTGAAATATTAATTAAATCATTTGTTAAAGTATACTAAGTATACCTTGACTTGTGTTTGATGAAATGGTTAATGAACTAGTAGATGAAGTTTTAAGTGTCATAGAGCCTTATTCTCTACTCATAAAAATTGCTTTTGGATGAGGTTTTACACTAACTTTAGGATCAAGTTGACTTGATTGAATCAATTGCAATCTTTTTTTTTATAAAGTTCAAATATAAATTGGTATTTTTCCTTAGTCCAATACTTATAAATTTCAGTGATTGATGGCCTTTTTGAGCCAGAATTATTTCTTTATTCCTTGTATAGTAAATCATTTTTAACCTTAAAGAATTTTTATTAACGCTTTAATTTGGTAATTTTCTACTACCCATTTTTTCATCATATGGGACCTTTGCAATAGAAAGGAGAAAAACTGCCAAAAAAATAAAAATTATTTAATGCTAAATTTGAACATATTTAAACCTAAAAATCATATTTGCATATAAAAGTAAATTTGATTATTTAGCGAAATGGCATCCACAAATAGTAATAAGCTTAAATATCCAATATTCTAAACACAATAATGTAATATGTATGGTTTTGCAATTTGATTTGATATTCAAATATTTAATTTGAAAATCAAATCAAATACAAATTCAAATTAATAATTGATTTGATTCAATCAAATTCAAATCAAAGAAAAATTTATTTGATCAAATATGAATTAATCTTTAATTTGATTTGATAAATTCAAATCAAAGAAACTTTATTTTATTAAATACAAATATATTTTCAAATAGTAATTTGATTTGCAATTGTATAAAAGTATTTTCTATTAACATTTTAATATGATTGTAGCAAATTTTAACTTTTAGAGAATCTGATTTATTATAATGAAAAATACAGTAAAGTTATATTAAACTATTTATTATATTTTATTATATGATTATTTTATACTTAAAATTAGTAAAAAATTTAATTTTATCAAAAATTAATATATTAGAAATTAAAATTAATTATATTTATTTTTCACGATATAAAAATAAAAAAATTAAATGTTCACGATATATATTAAATTATAATAAAAATAAAAATAATAAATATTTGCAAAATTTATATAAATAAGATAAAAAATTGTTTAATATTGAAAAAAAATAATTAAAAAAGGTAAAATAAGAAAATCATTTGTATATATATATAAAAAATAAAAATTAAAAAAAGTTTGCAAATATATAAAAAGAAAAAAAAGAAAAATAAGAAAAATTTTGTAAATATATAATATTATAAAGAAAAAAATTAATCACAAATAAATATATATATAAAAAAAGAAAAAATGTTTGTAAATATATATAAATATATATAAAAAAAGAAAAAAGAAAAAAGTTTGCAAATACAACATGTATATAAGGTGTTACATCTTTAGGCATATATAAACTACAAATAAAACTTGAAGTATTAGGTATATCCAAAGAAGGTGTTAAAAAAGTTGAAGCCATATTAATCCTTTTGTTTAAATTCTATTGGATCAGTTTTAGAATTTTGCATTAATTCATATAATTCCAAAAAAGTGTTCCATAAATTTCGAATTTGTTGTTCTCTTGATGATTGAAAAAATTTGTTAAAGTTAAAATGTTGAAAAAATTTAATCTTATCCAGTCCCATTAAAGATATGTATTGTCAAATTTTTGTTTTATGATTTTCATAAAAATAAAAATTAACTTCAATATACTTCATTTCTTCCTTAATAAGTTTTCATGTATAATCATTCCATTTATTCATTTCTTTAAATTCTTGAATTACAAGTGCCCAAAAACGATCTGTAATTCAAAGCATTACATGTAATTCATCAACTACCCAATTTTTAATAGGAATCATGCCAAATAAAGGTTGTTTAATATGACCAGAATAACAAGTAAAATCCTCTTGTAAATTTTCCATATCTTTTGTTATATTTCAGCATTTTGAAAGATCACCTTGATCATTTTGTATTACTGTATACCAATGACAAAAATAATTAGAATTTGCAAAATTGAATACTAAACAAATTGCTAAAAATTTCCAATCAGAACTAAAATTCAATTTAATATTTTGATCTTGAAATCCACATTCTTTTAAATACTGAAGTTCTTTAAGTATTGGATCCAAAACTGTTTATAATATAGTATAATTTTCAATACCAGGATAAAGAGCTATTGTATAATGAAAATCAGATTTCATTAAAAATCTTTATCATTTATAATTGCACAAGTAATCATAACATGTTTGAATTGTCATCCTAAGTTACATCTATCACCTAATATACGAAGATGAATAGTTGGATTATTAGAATCTAAAACATCACGTTCTATTAAAATAGGAATTAAATATTCTAGTATTTTTATAACACTTCGTTATCCACCATTTTCAATTGACTCATATACCATTTGGATTACTTCAGGATCAGTTATAGTTGATATATTTTAGAAAAATAATTATTATTTAATTTAATAACAGAAATTGAAATTTTTTTTTGCATTTCTTTATTAATTACTGCTTTTTCTTCTGACATTACCTATTCTCTAATAAGATCATTAGATAAAGTTGTGATTGTTTAATAACGATCTTAAGATATTTGTTTTTGATCAATAGCTTTAACTGTAAGAGTAATCTTTAATTTGATTTCTTTTTTATCTACTTCACCAAAATCAATTTGATAAGAATCTTTTTGAATGCTAACATATAAAGTCATTAAATTTAAATTCAATTCATCTTCAGGATCGTAACAATAATTACTAAGATCTTCAAAAGCCGATCTAGTATATTTTGCAAGATGTCAGGCCCTTTCATTTCTAGTTTTTTCTGTTATATTTTCATAAGGCTTTAATTTTTTAATTCTTTTTTCACGAGAAGTTTTTAGAACTTGGAGTTGCATACCAAATAATTATGTATCTAATTTTTTATCAGAATGAAGTATCTACAAAAAATATTAGAAATTGAATTTTTTATTAATATTAAAAAATTCAAAATCAATAATCCTAATTGACTATATTAAAAAAAATATATTTATATACTTACCTTTTGCACTTGTGTTGCTCCGTTTATACATAATTGTGTTGTTTCTAATATTTGATCAAAATTATCACTGTAGTATGTTCTAAAAACTGGTTTGAAATTTTCATAATATATGGAATATTTGACAGTATTTGATTTTCTATTTCACCATTTTATTATAACTTCATAATCGTCAGGCAAAGAAAAGCTTTTAAGTTTTTGGTAAATCTTACAAGTGACTTATTAGAATAAAAACCCTCTTTTATAACTGTATAATTAAAGATTCATTTTTCTTCTTTATAGATTCATCAGGATATGAGTGAATTTCTGTTAGCAGTTTTCGTAGCTTAGACATAATGCATTACAACAAATCAGAATGTCAATGGAATTGACTGTGTTTACTTTATTTTAATTATTATTAGTCAGTATTGTTTATTAATCAACTAACACACTATATCCTAGTTGTTACTAAAATTTTAGGTATATTGCTGATTCGCCGACATGCACCATAATGTTTCGTAAATTTTACAAACTTGTAAACTTGTGTAGTTTTACAACGTAATACTCTGAAATATTATAAAAATCGTAAATCTGCAGAAGATTACGCTACATTTAAGTTTCAGATGTATGTAATTATTATAATTAAATAAACTTTCGCAAAAATTACTTTAATAATTTTTTTAGATTAGTAATATTTTGAATTGATTTTATTTTTTTTTATAAATAGCATGCTTTTTCACTTTTCTCATTTTTTTTAAAAAATTTTTTTACAATTTTTTTAATCACATTTTATTGCATTGAAAAATAAATTCATTTTTATCTCAAATTTATTCATCATATTTTAATTTTTTCATTTCATTTATTCTTTCGTTATTTCTTTTTCATTTTTTCGAAATATAAAATTGCTTTTAATCAAATATTTAATTTTTTTTATTCATTTATCAAAACAATTCAAAAGTATTTTTTGCTTATTATTATTTCATAAAAAATTTTTTAAATTATCATGTATGTTGCTGAGTGAATTAATAAGAAAATTGAATGTTTGATCGAAAAAGAAAGATAGGAAATAATGAATTTCATTACAAATATGAAAGAAATAAAAGAAAATTTTGGCAAAATATTGCTAATGAAATCAATAAAGAGCAAAAATTATTTTTTACCAGTGATCAATGCAAACAAAAATTCAATAGTCTCGTAAAAGATCATAATGTAAGTTTTATTTTTTTTTATCTAAGAAATATAAATTTAATATTTACACTTTTATAAATAATATGAAAATATCTAATAATATTAACTTTTATTTTATATTATAGAATCTGGTAAATTATGAAAATGGCAAAAAAATGGAAAGATGACCAGATTAGCTGAAATTTATTATAATAAATTTAAAACAAATTTTTGGAAAAAACCCAGTAACTATCTCAAATAAAATTAATACAATGTAAGGATTATTTTTTTGATAATTTATTAACAAAATTTATTTTAGTTAATGCTTATAATAAGAAACAGGAATCTATCTTAAAAATGGAAAAAAAATAAAAAAATTGAAAGTAAATATAGATTTATTTTTAATTTTATTATATTTTTTCATATAATTAACTAGCTGTGACCTGTCACATTACACCAGACTTTAAGTAAAAATAATTGTGATTAAATTTATGTATTATTTTTTATATTTATTATGGTAATAAAACAGATAATAAATAAAATATATATAATTTTTATAATTATATATAGTAAATAATTGTAATTTTTAATAGTATGTTATCATTATTTTATATAGAATAAAATTTTTCATGATATACAATATTTTTGTTTGGCAATTATTACTATTATCTGTAAGAATTTTAAGATGCTGATATGAAGTCACTCTTGATAAAGTGAAATACAGTTGACTATGTGAAAAAACAGGTTGAGGTAAATAAATACCAACCCTGTTTAAAGTTTGTTCTTGTGATTTATTGATTGTCATTGAAAATGCAATACGTATAGGAAATTGACATCGATTTAAAATGAAGGGTAATTTAGTTTCTGATGAAGTTAATATAATACGTGAAATAAATACACGTTTACCAATATATGATCCTGTTATAATCTTAGCATCAATAACTCTACTCGCAAATCTACGAAAAATCAGTCTAGTTCCATTACAAAGACCTTCTGATAGATTTAATTTTCGTAGGAGAATGATTAGTATTCCTAACTTTAACTTCAATTCACCAGGAGGTAGTTTAGGAATTTTTAAAGATCTTAAAAATTCAGGTAAATAAGTTTGGGGTTATTCTACTGTACTATCATCTGGTAAATTTACTAAATCAGCACTGGAATATAAAATATCTTCGCCAAGTATTCTTTTCATTATAATATCTGAAATAATTTCAACATTGATATTTTTAGGAGTTAAGATTGCTTTGCTAACCATATAATTAGCATTGCCAGAATTTTCAATCAAATCTGGATAAACAAAATCAATTAGGTTTGTTAGAGTTCCTTTATATATTGTTATATCTGAAGAAAGAGTTATTATATTTTCTGTATTAGGATTAATTGTATATGTTTCATTACTAACTTTTAAAAGGAATTCTGCAAATTACCTTTGTTTCAGATTTTCTAATGGATTAGAAGTTTGTTTAAGTCTCATATTTGTTGATAATTTCATCATTTTAATATAAATCCATAAAGATGATCGAATTAAACTTGCTGAAACAATATTAGCACGAAGTGAATGTGATATAATGGGTAAGACTTGTCGAAAATCTCCTCCAAAAACAAATATCTTTCCTCCAAATGGTTTGTTTACTTGTATTATATCTTGAAATATTCGATCAACTGTTTCAAATACAAACTTATGCATTATAGGAGCTTTATCCCAAATAAAAAGCTTTGCTATATTAATTAGACGAGCTAATTTATCATTACGAGAAATTTTACACGTTGAAAATTCATCTATTTTAAATGGAATTTTAAATCGAGAATGTGCTGTTCTACCACTACTCATTAATAATGCAGCAATTCCAGAAGATGCTACTACTATTTCAATGTCACCTTGTGACTTAACATTAGCTAGTAAGGTATTGTAAAGAAAAGTTTTTCCACTATCAGCTGGACCACCTATAAAGAAACAACTACATTTATTATTAATTGCTTGGATGATTTTGTTATATGGGAGACGGTCAGTAGAAAAGGGAAAATCCAAAATTTTTGTTAATTTTAATTATTAAGCTAATTTTATGCACATGACTGAGATCAGCCAAGTGGTCTAATAATATAAATTTTGACCAAAATTTGGATTTCCCCTTTTCTACTGACCGCCTCCCATATATTAAATGCTATTCTTTATTCAATAGAAAAACATTTAGACATACTTGTTCTGTCAAATAAATGGTACCATATGATCTTTCTTCATAAATTAATTGATCTAAATTATTATTAGCAAAGTTAGAATGAATATTTTGTATTGAAGGAATTGGTATATGAGGAAAAAATTTTTAGCGAAATTCCATTTTATTGAAGATAATGTTCTATTTGGTTTAATACTTTATTTTCTATTGTATCATTTAATATAATAGTTTGTGAAAGAGTAAGTTGCTGTGCATTATATAAAATATCTTTACATAATGCGAATTTATAAGTATTCCATAATTGTTCTGGTGTTAAAGGTTAGCACATAAGAAGAATCATAACAAAAAGGTGACGTAATTGCTTTCCTGTTTACATATTACTTGCTTCATATAGACATTTATTCCATTTATTATTATTTTGAAGAAGTCCAAGGTAAGTGCAAGCTTTTTTAAAGGTTCTGCATATCTGTTTATTAACAGTTTTTAAATTATCAAATGAAGTAGCACCAGTTACATGTATAAGTAATATTCGTAAGTAATATCGTTTACCTTCTATAGGTTGAATCATATATAGCCTTCCTATTACTCCTGTTGCATTTTTTCTATGATTCCACTTGTGAAGTTTTTGCATTCCAAGTATAATATACTGGAAAGTCAGTATATTTATAATTTTGTGCTTCAGTATTATGCATATTTTCTTGAAACTAAGCTATTAAAGTAGTTTTATATCTAGTTTCATTATTAACTATATCATACAAATTATCTTCTTCAGAAATATAACTGTTTGGTGATTTGGAAGATGAACTGTTAATCTTTATACATTTGGATTATGTTTATGCATTTTAAAATGAAAAATTCTTCATATACTTTCAGAAGATGAAACATATCATGCATCTAAATACATTTTAATTTCATCAATTAATTCATTTGTATCTATTGCCTCCTGATCTATTCTATTAATAGATTGAGAAAATGCTACAGTTACACGATCATGACCTTTATATACATATATATATAAATATTTAATAGCTAATATTAAATTGCAAATTTCAACATTTATATGTGCATTATATTTTTCAACTAATTTAATATTATAACGAACAATGCATTAGTTATCTAATTGAATTCCATTTCTAATTTCTACATAATGACCATCATATTATCGACAGTAAATTGGATATCCATCAGAATTTTCTTGTGTAGTTTCTTGAAAGTTTTTTGGATAATACTTTTGGTATTTACCATCTTTCATATATAGTGATGATGGATTTAATATACTACATAAGCCATGCATCATCATAGTTGTTACAGTTTTATAAGCTAAAAGATTTAATTTACGATCAGGTATTTCTGCAGAAATAATTGAATCAAATTCTTCTATTGAATGAATTTTATTTTCAGGAGCTAATATTAGTAAGATGTATACATGAGGTAATCCTAATTTTTGAAATTCTATTACATAAATATATGCAATAACTTTTCCAAGTAAATTTCTTTCACACAGATCTTTTATCATTTCTTGTAATTTTATATGAAAAACTCGAGTAGTTAAATTAGGCCTATTAGCAGCAATTTGACCTGATAATAATTCTCGTATAATTTCTGGCCATTTTGGATTACATGTGAAGGTAATAAAAATATCAGGCTTACTAAAATGACATTATTAACCCTACGCTAACCATCGAACTTAGGGTAATAATGACTTGATAACAGGAAGTAATACGTGTAATTAATCTAAGATTACTATAAAATAAGTCCTATCACGATCAACTTCTATCACAATTAATAATAAGTAAACACGTTGAAGGGTTTTGTGTAAATTATTGTGTAGAAAGAAAGATTCTTTTATTGTAGAATTTGTATTCTTAAAATTCTTTACGCTTGAATTCTAAACCTGAACTCGTTACCTGAGTTCTTGAACTCATTCTGAGTTATTCTTTCATTTAAGCTTTACATTATTTTATTTATACAAAAATACAATTATTAGAAAATCTATATATAACGTTATTATAAAATAAAATAATTAATACATATAATATATAATCCAACTATTATAAATAATAAAACTATGTTAAATATAAAATGTTAATAATATTGATAATGTTAATAGAGTTGAAAATGTTAACGAAGTTAAGAATGTTAACATTTTGCAGATCCTTATGACACAGTAATTTTGATATGATATGACATCAACATACTATTGCCATTGCATCTTGATATAATTGATACATATATCGTGGTCTACCAGAAAAGTTGATAGAAGAATTATACGATGTCCAATATTATTAGCATTATCTCCTGCATATATTGCATCCATACCTTCTTAATAAAATTCAATTCTAAGTTCTGACTGATTCTGTCTTAAGTAATTTAAACGAATTTGTTCAATTTTAGCATATTGATCAACAATGTATTGCTGATATAATCAGTCAGCATTTTGTATCCAGTCACTATTCCTAATTTGTAATCTGTAAGAATAAAATTGCATTTGTGTTACTCTTTTTCTTGCTCCAGGTTCTGTAAAAGGAATTCAGTATGCTAACCATCATCACCTTTTGGAAATAATAATACATAATGCAAGACATCATAAGAGGAATGCAGTTCAGATATTCTTTGTAAACCTCCTTCACGAGTTTTAAGCAAAATACCACGATTTAATGGTTCAATTTCATGTCCATCTTCTATCATAAGAGCTGCAACTTCAGATGATGTAAGTACATTATAACTATGTAAAATTTTGTACATGATTATTATGAATTAGCATTGATATATTAGAAGTTTCAGATGTCTGAAAAATATCTCGTGCTTGTCGAAAAATATAAATATAGGGATTGATTATGTCAAACATATTTTGTAAGTTTTTTAGAATTATTGCATCTTAATTTTGCATAAAATTAAGAAGATTTCTAATTTCATGTTTAGTATCATATATATATAGTTGAGCAAATCTAAGTACCTGTCCTTCTTCTGGTAATAATGGTCCAATAAGATAATAAACTTGACCATGAATACTAAAATTAGATACTCCTTTACTCTGAAACTCATCATTTACATTAGCACCAAATGATGTGTAAGCTAATAAACTGTTGTAACTTCTAACATTTTTACGAAAAGAATTAGCTTCAGATTCTGATGAAGTATAGAGATTCATCAAATATAGAGGTGGTTTAAGCAGAGGTAATAATCTAACTTTTCCATTAATACAACATACAGAAAAAGTAGAAGAAATCTGTATGCTCCTTTGATTTTTTTCATCCATCCAAAACTTGGCACACAATGTAAGCAGAACTGGTTCATATTTCCCAAGTCATAACAAATATCAATATTATTATTAATATGCCTTCTTTTGTAATTTCTTTGTCTAATCTGATTTAATCTTTTTTGAGATTATTAGAAGTTTCACTTCTATTATTGATTTCGTCTATTGAAGCCATTTGGATTAGAAATTTATTTATATTATTTAGAAGAAATATCTACTTTTAATATGATAGATTATATGATATGAATAGTAATAAAATAATAAAATGTGTATTTTTTTTATAATCTAAATACCAAACACCTTATATTGTATATAAGTAACATCTATACATTTGAATATTACACTAAATATATATACCAAATATAATATTAAATATGTTATATATATTGAATTATAGTAAAAAAAAAGTAATAATCAATCAGGTTTTTAATATTATTACATAATAATATAGAAACAATTAAGAAATAATTAATGCTTTCATATAATTATATAATATAATAGAATAATATATTATATTACATAAAATAATAATAATAATATGATTGTATGATAAGAATGGTATAGAAGATTTTCTAAATCTATTACATATAACTTGTAACGAAGTGTCAAAAAATATAAATGTGATAGGATTTATATTATAACACTAATCATTAAGGTTATATTAACTTATGACTTATATGATTAGATGTAGATCGCACAATTAAACAATTTACTTATACAGGTAATTTAAATAGTAATGATATACATGTATTTTTAATAAGTATAAATTATATAAACAAATAAAACTTGATATATTAAGAAATTTTGTATAGATTTTAAATTTTTCTTATTTTAAAAAAAGATTATTAATTATTTCGTAAATAAAATGTATTTACTTCAAAAGTCAAATCATAAAATACAATTATTTAATTTTGAATTACTTAAACAATGTTACTAAATCATCTAATTGTGAATTACTTAAATAATATTAATTATTATTTATTTAAATTTAAATTTTGATAAATTAACAATAGATTAAAACAATAAGCATAAATTTACATAATGATTAGCTATTAATTAAATGCATTTTAATGGTATTATGTAAACTAAATAAATAATATTGATTTATAGTTTAATGAACAAGTTTTATTCATGATGTGTTAAATTTATTATTGCAGAACATGATAACAACTAATGTAAACGATTAATAATTTAAACTTATTATTTTGATATAACAAAAAAAATTAATCTGAAAATTTAAAATAAATTTATCTGTAATATTTTATTTATTTTGATATATCTGAATTGTTTAATAAAAAATAAGCCAAGTAAATTTTAAGTTTGATTAAAGAATGAACGCAAGATTTGAAATAATCTATCATAAATATGAAATACGAAATCAAAACCTCCTAAAACCCTTTAGGTTTAATAAGCAGTATCAAAAAAAATTACAAAGAAATTTTCTTGATAATCTTAATAATCACAATAAAGTGAGATGTATAATTTAATTTTGTGAGACATTTTTTTTATTTGGCTTGAGTGATTTATAAATTTTTTTTTTGTTTGATTTAGGATGGCTTGAATAAGGTGCATGCATGATATTTAAACATTTGTTTTCTTTTTTTTTTGTCTATTTTTAACTATTATTATTAATTTACTATTTTATTTTTATTTATTTAACAATAATAATAATTAAATAATTTGAACGATAAATTCTATCAAACTATGAATGATGATCATTTCTGTTTATAATTTTATTACTGTATTCTTAAAAAATTAAAGCATTTAATAAAAAAAAATTCGTATTATAAATAATAATTAACATAAGTTTTATTTTTAACAAAAAAATTTTATTTGACTAATACAAATAAGAATAAAATATTATTTTTTAGTTTGATGAATATTGTATTTTCGTTTCTTTTTTTTTGCTGTTGCACTTCATTACTTTCTTGAACCACTTCAGTTTCTTGTTCTTGTTCAACTATATCCTCATTTATTTCAATTGATTGAATTTCCTTTTGAGGATTATTTTCTGTTTTAATTTAGATAAAGTTAAAGAAGCGAGTTTTGGTATTTTTTGTATTTGAAGTAAATTTGGTACTTGATTTTTTCCTTTTTTATTAGATTTTATTGAAAGTGATTTCGCTATTTCAGCAGCTGTTAGAGTTGATGATTGAGTAGAGGAATCATCTTATCTTTTCTCCCAAGCATAATTTGAAGATTTATGAGTTGTTGAATAAAGTGATTCAATAAAATTGATTTGTATCATTCTAATAAGGAAAAGGTCTTCAATGATTGATAAATAATCACTAACGTATAAAAGTGTACTACGTGAAATTTTTGTTGTAATTGATAACAAATGGCTATCTTCGGGAAAATGATATAAGTTAAACAAAAGAGAACTATTATTTTGATTATCAATATATTCTCTTGCATTCAAATCTAGAGTAACTTTATCGATTCCAATTTCAGGATTACCAGACGCAGTATCTATCAATATAACAGATAAGGAAGATCTTGGAAGATCTTCTTCATCAAGGTTAAGTATGCATATATCGGATGCTACAACCTAATTTTTTCATTTATATATTTATTTATATTAATAAAATATATTAATTAAAAAAGTACAAATTTATTATTTAATTTATTTAATACCTTAATAAGTTTAACTTTACTTTCGTTGACTTCTGTTTCAATTATCGAAAATCTATCCTGAACCTTAATAATATCTCATTTTTTTAATTTCTCTAAATTACTATCTTTTACTAAGTCTTTTGGATAGAAAGCTACAATATGAATATAAATATTCATATTTTGATTTCGAGAATTAACCAAACCCACAACATTAGCTATAAAATTTGATTTTCCTGTCATCTCATTATATTAATCTACAAAACAGATTACACTAATGTTGTAAGGCATAATAGCACGAAGGTTTAAATTTTTTAAATTTATTTTTATTTTTAATTTATTTTTTTGGTAAATAAAAGCATTGTATTTATTGTTTTTTTTTTTTTCAAGAAATGTTTGTGAGAAATTTTTTGGTAAATAAAAACGTTGTATTTATTTTTTTTTATTTTTTTTTTTCAAGTGAGAATTTTTTTTTTCCGATATCTTGTCTTGTTAGATCAAATTGGAAGTTTCATACATAAATAATAATGTAAATAAATAAAATAAAAATAATAACAATAAAAATATAAACAATAAATGATATCACAATAAACAGTTTAAATCACATGATCGTGAATACTTGTCAACTCAAAAATTTATTTATACAGGTAATCTAAACGTTACTGATCTACATATATTTTTTTATAAGTATAGATACAGAAATGAAAAAAGAATATCTCATATAGAAAAACATCTTATTAATTGTTTATAATATTATTTAATAACTTATATAAAAAAGCTAATATTATTACAGAAGCTCAAATATTAGAAAAGAAAGTTTTTAGTAATAATCCAAATGTATTATATAATATTATACTAATTATAATTTTTTATAATTTCTAATTTTTTTTTTATATTTTTATAATATATTTATTTTCTTAATTATGTTATTTATACAGATTATAATCTAGTTAATTAATATATGCTTTTATATAAAGACATAATTCATATATGTATTTTAAGTAATTATTTATTCTTTTATTTTTATAAATAAAAGGTTCTTGTAAACTGCACTGCAATAAATATGATAAATCAAAAAGTTTGGGTAGATATAAAGTCTCCTACTATTTGTAATTTCTAGTTATTAAATTAAAAGAGATCAGATAAATGAAATTAAAAAAATATGATACTATTTTCAAATTTAAATAATTTATAATAATAAAATTAATATATAATAAAAGATGTAATAAATTAAAAAGACAAAAAAATTAAATAAAAATTTATAAAAGAAAATGTTTATAAATTTGTATTTTAATGAAAATAAAAATCAATCATAAAAATATTTAATGTAACAAAAAAAGAAGGATTTTATTTATATATATTAAAGAGCATATATATATTGTTAATAGCAGTTCTTTGGTGTTTATTGGTTATAAACAGAGTTTTAAGGTAAGCAGATGGTATTGTGTTTATTGATTTACTAATTAATTAATAATAATCAGAATTCCTATCTAACACAAGTTGTGTTATTGTTAAAAGTATTGGTATTTGTGATGTGATGAGTTTTGAATTTATGGATCCTCCCCATGAACATCTTATTGCCTGCAACGTTAGCACTCTATACAATCAGGTATGTTTATTAATTACATCTTTCAGAGTACTTATTATAAAAATATGTAAAAGGGAAATAATGGATAACGATGTTTTTGTATTTAGGGAATTATCAGACTTTTCAAGGATTGAATGATATTTATTATTACGAATATGAATTGTATTAACGGTTGTAATTATCATTGTAATAATTGTTATATTTTATTAAAGAAAAATTCCGCAATTTATATACATGTATTTTAACAGGATATTGTTGTCCAGGAAACTAATTTGGCCAGTGGACTATTAAGGCCAGTGAACAATATTGGCCCAAATGGTCTTTATTGCGCTAACTTAATGATCGCTAACCGAATTTCTTAATGTAATAAAATAAAAATAAAAATAATAATAATAATAATAATAAACGCTAGTAAATATAAAATAATTCTAATAAAAAAAAATAATAATAGTAATTACAAAAAAATAATAAACGCTAATAAATGCTAACAAAAAATAACAAGACTATATCCTGCATTGCTTATAAAAGAAATAATTATAAAAATACTGAATATTAGTATAAATGTATTATTACAAATAAGGAAATAAAAGAAATAGTATTATAGAAACAAATTTATAAGAATAACACAAAATGAAAAATAAAAACTAAACGAGTTTTTTTTTAAAAAAAAAAAAATTTGAAAAAGTTCAGCAAAGATTAATAAAATGAAATTTCTGCAAAATGAAAGTTTAAGTCATGTATTCTAATGATATATAGAAGCTTAAATAGCCGTAGCTATAGCAATATACTGTAATACTACTAAAATTGGTCGAATATACTTGCAACCTAGGTTGCAACCTAAAAAGTTGTAATTAGTTGCAGACTTTTATATTATAATTCTTATATTTAAGATTCTGCAACTAGTTGCCACATAGAATGCAACTCAAAAAGTGCAACCTAATAATCTTTATGTATAATAATATTTTATAATCACAAAAATGGACGAATGGTCGATCACTTGGAAATTTCAAAATAAATGAATTACAAATAGTATATTTGGAAGATCAGCATCATCGCTGTCCTCTAGTAAACTTGTCCTTTCAAATTTAAGTTATAAAAATGATCGTGTTTGAATATCGAAATGTTCGTATGTAAAATGGTATTATCTGAAATTGGTAAAAATGCTCCTCAATAAAATTATTTCATCTGCTAAAAAATTAATTACATAAATAATGTTAAATAATTTACTTGCACGACGCAAAATTGACCAAACCATACCTAAGAGTATGATAATAAGCTTGTTAACCTTGTTCATGATATTCACTCTCTCTTCTATTCTTTTTCCCCATTTAATGATGATGATATTTTCTTATGCTCCTAAAGGCAACGGGAGAATCATGAAAAGCCTCTAGTTGATGTTATGCAGTGCAACTAGAATTTTTGCTTCAATACAACAATACCTTACCAAAGCGCGTTCAAAATTTCGGCATATCGAGAGGATTTAACAACTTAATTGCATGATCAAGTACTGTACATATAATGTGATAAAGAAAAAGAAATTATTAGATTTTGTATTCCAAGGCGAGCAAATATTTTATGCTCGGTATAGTTGGGAGTCAGTACTTAAGAGTCAAAGTATTAAAGCGACCTAATGAATGAAATAATGGGGGTAATACTTGTCTATAGAAATGAACATCCCAGGGAAAACTAACGAGCAACATTTATATTTGCATAAAACCTCATTACTTGCTTTGCACAACAATCGTGTACAAAAATTTCAGCAGCTAAAATAAGTTTAACAACTGTGTTGCATGCCGAAATACCTATAATTTTAAATTAATATGATAGATAGAACGAGAATGAAAAGTTCCGGAACTTTTGATCGTTTGTCCGGAATTTTGATTGTCCGGAATAATTGAAATTACTAAAAAAGGATAAATTAAATTAATTGGTATTTTTATCAAAATAGAACAAATTTATTTTAAGATGATAAATTTCCTAGATTTTCTTTTCCCGAATATACAGCAGTTACTTTAATCATAAAATTTTTTTTATGTGCTTATAATAAAAATAATAAAGACTACTAATTTTGCTATTGAGAACCTTATAAATAAATTTGTCTTAATTTATTTGTGTGTGTCAAAACTTAGTAATCAAATCACAGCCCTATTGAACTGACAAATCATGATATTATTGCTTAAAATAACTTATTAGATGAATTCCCAATATTCCCATTGAATTTATAACATGTATTAATTTGAACTAGGTTAAATAGTTTATAAAGATTTCTTTAATTACCTTCCCGATGTAGGTAATTTATCAAGACAATATGAAAAAGTTTATTTTGTTCTTTTATTATGACTATGTACAATCATGATCAACTGATTATCTTTTTTAAAAAAATCTTTCTGGCATTTGTTATCACCGAGAAAATTAAGTGTCAACGTTTTAACGGGTTTGCTTATTTGGTAATGACAATATAAGAAACTCCTTGAGACCAACTTTGTGGCATGGTTTTTAAAGAATTTAAGAGGCATGCAAATAATTTATTATTTATAAACTGAATTTATTAGAATTACAATATTAAAGTATATCAGGAATGACTATGAATTTTATATCACATTATTTACGACACTCTCATTGCATGAATCTCATGAGACACATTTTCAACCAATAATATATAAGTTAAACGAACCTTGACGCGTTTGTGAAAGTGTTGTATAATTTAAAATAATCAAATTTTCGGTTTAAATTTTAGTTTATCTAAAATCAAAATAATTAATACACATGTAAAATTCTTGTTTGTTCAAATTTCTTGCATATGTTACGCGTATTCAAAGAGGAATATTGCTGTTGTGCTTCTAAATGTATGTATATTTATTATTTATTTATTTTAGAAAAAAGTACCAAATCAATTCTACCCCTTATCATTCTAATTGAACTTTTTTCCTCCTCCTCCTCAAAAAATATTTGGATTTCAATATAAATACCGTTCATAAAACAAGCAAATTTTCTCTTTACCAATTTATTTAATCCCAATTGGCTTTATAAAATGAATTATCAACAATTTAGAAGAATTTCTAAAATGTCAATTAGGACGAAATTAAATGGTTTCCTCGGACGTGTCCAGTATATTAACATAAACCAACTTCCTTATAATGGAAACGTACAAATACTTGCTATTCAATCAAGAAGTAATGGAAGAGTTCAAAGATTAACGGGATACGGATTGATGAAGCAAAATTTAGTTCGCGAAGCTCACAGATTACAAATCTTCAATCGATACCTGATCAATTTAGCGATGGACCATATATGGAACATACATTCAACTTCATCACAAAGAAGTCAATTCATAAACTTGGCATCTGATGCTAATGATCTAAATCGAAACCACGTGTCGCGAGGTCATTGTATCAATACCCCTAATACTCTTGAACTTATCTCGAGATTACCGGTTCCACAAATTTCTAATGATATATTTGAACAAAATTTGTTCAACGGAGCCGTATTTTGTGATGGCAACAATTTTGAGTCTTTACTTTCACCTTCCGAATGTTTTTTAGAATCTTCTTCGTTCCCTTAAATTTATTATTTAGAAACTTTTGTCTGCATTTGCATTTAAATTAATGTCATTAAAGTCGTGCAGGATGGAATGCTCTCGAAATCAAATATTTAAAAAAAATATTTTCTTTTTTAACTAGGTAGGGACCGACTTATTTCATGAATTATAATTGAACATAAAAGGTCTTATCATTTCATAAAAATTCTTTTGTTTTTATTTGGAAAAAAGGGTGATTATTTACAGTTTTTTTTCCTGCATAACATAATATGTGCAATTAAATTTATTGTAATAAGTCATACTTTTCATATATATATATATATATATTATTTAATAAAATCCAAAGAAATAAACAAATCATAATCCATTTACAATGAACTTTCAAATTACGTAATTTGTAATCAGTACCTAATGCATATATTACGTGTAAAAAACATGAAGTATTAAAGTTTAATTAGATAATATTGCAACAAATTAAATGCTTTAGATATACGGAAAGACATTTATGGTTTACGGACTTGATATTTGAATGTATACTGTACTACCGAAAACAAACATTACAAATATTATTATTGTATCAACAACAAATAGACCAGGTTCATATGGGCGATAAACATGTTTTGTCTCAGTCACACAAGCAGGCTACTTCGGTTAGAACTCAAAATGGGTCGTGTATTTACTTACACCTTGTTTGATAATCACAGACCAATTTTTTTTTTACCTGAATATTTAAAAAGATTTCCGTTAAATTACTGTTGGTTTGATATTTTTAAGAGTTTATTTTAAGACACGACTAACCAAAATGGCAAATATTTCATTAAAATTTATAAAAATTAAACCATTTATATTCTTCATTATTTTTTTTTTTTTTTTTTGCTTGCGCATCTACCAACCGCGCAACAACCCGTAAAATCGCATGAATCTTTTATAATTGTATCTTCTGATTTTCTTTTTTACAAAGTTCAGGCATTCACCGATAATCAAATCTTATTTGACATGAATTCTTTAGATTAAAAGGGTTGAGTACAATTTAATCTTAATCTATTGCCAATATAAATAATATCTCTAATAAGTTGATCGAATTAAATTTCGACAACTTGCGTCACCGGTACTTTTTTAATTTGAAGACTTCTATTTTTTTTTTATTATTATTATTTTTGATCGGAAATTTACTCTCTTGGTTTAACTACTTTCAATAGTTCGCCCGAATATATTATCGTTTTTTTATTTAAAAGTCGCGTTTTCCGTTACTTATTTTATCAATCAAAGTTACCATGCTCATACTCCTAATGACCTTCAATGGGTTTTGTTTCCTCAATAATTTCCAAATCAATATTCTATTTTTCTTATTAATTTCAAGTGGAACACAGTACATTCATGTAGTCCGGTTACATTTTTTAAATTTTTGCTAAATCTCTTACTGTAACTCCGGATCTACATAACTATTTCAATTCACGTCATACCACGTATAAAATTTTTAAAATGAATTTCTTCGATGTAAGACAATAAATAGATCCTGTTAGACAATAATATCACTTCATTATTATTAAATTGACTGTATCATCAAATTATTAATTCTAATTATTTATTGAGGTAACGAAATTTTCCAATTTGAAGAATCATTTCGCCAAATGATGAGTATCATTATTTATGTTTCTACCCGTATTATCAAACTTTAAATAAAATGCTTATAAATTTTTTACAACCCGATAATAGTCTTTTTTGATGGAGGAAATTATGATGGATAAATACAATCTTGCGTTACTTGTAAATTCCTCAAAGAATTGGAGTTCCTTTAATTCAATTAAACATCGTTTCCGCAGAAATATTTATTGAATAATATTTTCGTATAAAATTCAATGGTATCAACGTGGTGCAATTAACGATTTAACGCAGGGAAATTTACGACGTGCATCTAAAAAACTACATCATTTTTGGATAAATGGGAGTTAGGGTAGTTTGAATAAGGAAAATTCTAAGCCCAAGATATGATCAAGTGAGGTGAAATATATTATTTTTTTTCCAAAAAAAAAAAAAATAAATAAATTAATCTAAATCGTGTGAACCAAAATCATCAAAGATTATATACATTAACAAAAAATTTCATGAGTCGTTCCGACCTATTAAAGTAAAGGAGTCTTTTATTTTTTTCTTTTTTTCTCAATTGATTAAAGACTTTCTCTTTTTGAACCATTAATATTAACAAGACAATAGAATGATCCGTCGATCCTATCAAAAAGGTGTTCAAATTGAGGAAATGAAATCCTACACGTACACACGTTGTATCACAAAATTTCCCAATAATGCATATAAAATACGGAGAAAATCACATGGATTCGGATTTCAGAATACATTTGGTAGGATTTACCGGCTCCGCCTCAATATAACAGTTGACTTTTTAGTATTTATTTCCGAGATCTAAAACAAAGAAAAAAGAATTCGATCAAGTTACCAAAGTATCGGACTGTTCCTCAATAGTTTGCTATGGAAACTAATCTACAAAAGTATTCGATGGACGGTGGGAGGTCAAAAAACTAGTTTGCATATGCCGGCTGAAATTCCGAAATTCCGAAGTTCCGTGTAGGTTGAATTTTTAAACGAACGTCATATACCCGACCCGCTTTCTACATTTTCAATATGCCAAACACTCTCGAGCTTGAGAAAAAAAAAACAATTTAAAAAAATTGGGTTCATGACGAACATCGTATGATTTTTTTTTAATCTACAATCAATCGGAAATTAAGCATCGATGATGTTCTTGCAGGTAAAAAAAATGAACTGTTCATGTAAAAAAAAAGTTTTTCCTTTACAGCACAGCACATTCATATGCCGTTATACAATTCCATATTACACTACAGCCATATAAATATTAATGTTAACAAATATTTTCGCGTTTTAATATATTTGACATGCATAAAATATTGTATTGGTGATGAATTCCCGAATGTTTCGAACATTTGATTATCCATAAAGTTGGGTAATCTGATTTTCGAGTTTGAACTATTCCTTGCCAAATATGGCATCATGATGTAACCACATTCTACGAGTGGTAACTAATTGACGCAATATAAAAAAGGAATTAAATATGCATATAATGTTCTACAATAAAAAAATAATAAAACTTTAAAAAAAATTCAACATATATATTTCATTTAGCTAAGGGGAAAAAAAATGATCAATTTCGTTACAGAAAACGTTCCTTTCTTTTTTTTGCTTTTTTTTTACAAAAAAAATTTACATCATCAAATCTTATATTACTTTCTTTTCAACGTCTTCCAAAATCTTAATTTTATATCTATTTGATTACCTTTTTTAGGTTCTCCCCATTTCCTTTTCGTCACTTGAATTTGAATGCAAGCATCCTTCCTAAAAAGCATGGGTAATTCATCTTCAGCGAAGAATAAGAAAGAATCGTACGGCGGAAATTATATGATCAAAGTAAATGAAGAGCAAATTGATAGAATTCAAGTATTGCATCACATTTTAAAAACATGTTGTAATGATACGAATTTCTCCGCGCCAATCTATCAGGATTTGACGCGCGGTATCAAAGTTTTGGACGTCGGGTAATTTATTAAAATTTAATTAAACATTTTGTACCACCGCGCGAGGAAAAAGTGTTTTAAATTTTTTTTAACTTTCTACGGTAATAGATCAGGTCCGGGCACATGGATATTTGACATGTCATCAGACTTTCCTAGATCACAATTTGTTGGCATAGAAATACAATCATTTATGTTGCCAACCATTCACCCATCAAATACGCATTTCATACATAACGATATATTGCATGGAATACCCTTCCCTCCTAATTCTTTCGACTACATTCACATGAGAAACATGAACTTATGCTTTACCGAAAAACAGTACGAACAAATTATCAGAGAATTAATTGACTTACTTAAACCAAATGGTTACTTGGAATTATGTGAGCAGGAAATTAGTTCGTATAATATGGGACCTGTCACTCGAAAGATTTCCGATGAAAGTAAGCGACGAATGAATTTCTGACAAATAAATTTGATCACTTTTTATTGATACTTTTTTTTTCTTTTTTCTTACTAGTGGGAAAAATATTAATACAAAAATCTATGAATCCATTTGTGTCCAGCCGGTTGCACGTATTTATGAAGAAATATGGATTACAAAAGGTTCAAAGAGAAATGGTGATGCTCCCGATGAGCGAATTAGATGGGAAAATTGGTGAGTTATCAGTTTAGCGCTTAATTTTTTGTTTATCTTACTTTATCTTTTAAGCATAACCCATTTATTTCAATAAACCTCGTAGGATCATTGCACGGACAATCTGTTTTGAGTGGATTACTCGGCGTAAAAGATGTGCTAGCAAAGCAAATGAAATTAACTGGTCCTGAAGCTAATCAATTATTAAATGATTATCGAAAAGAGATACAGTTAATAAGAATGTATGGTAAATATACACGAGTTTATGGCCAAAAAATATAAAGAAAAATAAATAAACGTATATAAATAATAAATTCCCATTTGATTTGGTAGTAGATTAATAAAAAAAATAAATATATTTATATTTTGTTTTCATTTTGAATTACCATAAATATCTCAATTGTTCCACGAGTTTCCGATCTGCCAATTTAAAACTCCCGATGTACCAGACATTCCTAGTTATTCCGCGGAAAATTTAAATTTCGGAACCTTTGAAAGAATCGGTCGTTCCAAGTAGTTTCGCAATAAACATTAAAAAATTTCGTTCACGTCCAATTGAATCCCACCCAAAAGAGTGACACAACTTGAGATTATAACAAAATTTGCGAGACCTTTTTAATTCGTTGCGATATAAGTTTAACAATGATAAAGATTAATTAATTAAATATTTTCCGTTTAAGGTTAGGGTTTTCGAAACCTGCCGAATTTTTTTGACGTAATTCGTGTAAACAAGTATGAAAGAACTCTCATTGTTGACATTTTTTTTTTTTTTTTTTTTTTTTTTTTTTTGTTTGTGCATTTTTCTTTCTTTCTTTCTCATTATGTGAAAAAATAACACATATCGAATTATATATGACCTTATATGTTTTGGATCATATTTGAATGAAAAATGCTGTGTATCATAAATATTTAATGGGATAGGGGATGGAACGTTGGTAATGGTAGGTTTGATGGTTGATAGTTTCTATTTACGTCATATGAATGCACATAATGTCTCACAAAAATAGAAAGCAAAAAAGTATATATATATTATCACTTAATTCTAACTTTTTTTTTTATTTTTTTTTTTTATAAAAAAAAAAAACGATCTATTTCCTACATCGATCGGTTACTTTAAAAAATAATATATTTTTATTTAATTATTTATAATTTTTTGTCATCCTCTTGAAAATTCTCTACACTCTTTTTTTTTCTTTTTCTTCATTTGTTTCCTTTTCTTTTTCCTTCTATAATCATCTTTCAGGTTATATCATCTTTTTCATAAATTATAATTAAATATGGGAAACAAAGTATCATCAAGAAAGTTAAAACAAAAAGAAAAGTTTGAAGGAAACTACATAATAAAAGTTGATGAAATGCAAATCGACAGAATACAACAAATGCATCATGTTTTGAAGTCGGGTTTCGACAACACCAATTATTACGCGCCAATTACTCGAGATTTGCTACGAGGTATCGAAGTTTTGGATGTCGGGTAGGTTAATTGACACTTGTCGTGTTGCGCCAAAAGAAAAAAAAATCTCCAAGAAATACGTTTGTTAATCACGATGACTTCTTTCTTCTCCTTACGAAATTTAGTACTGGTCCAGGTACATGGTTATTTGACATGTCATCAGATTTTCCCAAATCACAATTTACGGGAATCGAAATACAATCATTTATGCTACCGACCATTCATCCGTCAAATACAAAATTCGTAAAGAACGATATATTACAAGGAATATCATTTCCTCCCAATTCATTTGATTTTATCCATATGAGAAATATGACTTTATGCTTCACCGAAGAACAATATGAACAAATTATAAATGGATTGGTTGATCTACTTAGGCCCAATGGATATTTAGAAATAAGCGAACCGGAAATGGCCTCGCTTAATATGGGACCCACAAGCAAAATAATTTCCGACGCAAGTAAGTGTGCAATGTTCATTTATTTGTTATTTAAATATTTTAATTAACTTGATTTATTATTTTTTTTTTTCTTTAGTGATAAAATTCTTAAGATCGAGATCAATGAATCCATTCATAAATGAAAAATTACATGATTTTTTGGAAAAATCTGGATTGAAGCATGTCACCCGACAAGACGTGCTACTTCCAATAAGTGAATTAGACGGTAAAGTAGGTACGTATCATGCTTACATCTACTTTTAATTAATGAAATTATTGAAAATACCGAAAATTAATCCAATTCGATTTCTTTTTTTTTTGTAGGTGCTTTATATGGGCATATTATTTTTAGTGGTCTACTTGGATTAAAAGATATATTGGCAAAGCAAATGAAATTATCGAAAAATGGAATCAATTCATTGCTAGATGATTACCTTCTAGAAACTAAAAGGACACGAATGTATAGTAAATATACACGCGTTTATGGTAAAAAAATTATAAATGATATTGTATAAAAATATATTTGATTTACCTCCCAAAAAAAAAAAAAAAAAAAAAAAAAACCATCTGTATTATTATTATGTGACACAAAAATTTTACATACCTTCATACCTTCCTGTCATTATAGCTTTCCACTATTAGATATTTTTTTATGATTTTTTTTTTATTATTATTTGCATAGTTAATCGCGTGGATCACTAATCGTTACACGATGTATTATATTAAGTTAAATCTAATTTTTATTATAAATATTCAAACTTATTTAAAATAAAAAAATAAAAATCGTGCTTCTGTATAATTTTAATGTTTACCTAGAGTACACGATTATATTAATCGGAAATATATATTTGTATCGCCTTATGGTCCGGTGCGAATTTGCAAATCAATGACAGGAATATTGTAGATCATTAAACGTTTTTCCGCTAAAGTTAATTAGGTACTGCAAATACATCATTTCTAATTGGATGAGTAACAAGAATCATTGCATTCTAATTATCTTCCAGACAGATCTTTCGAAGATTCTAATTTTACAACGTAAAAATTTCGGTTAAAATGTATTATTTTATTGTTTATCGAAAATTAAATGAGCGTACCTCTATTATTTAAACAATAAACAAGTTTAATCTATTAAAACACTCTTTTTTAGTGGGGAAAAAAAATCTTCTGATTTTATTTTTTATATTTCGCATGTGAAGAGGTGAAGAATAAGGGCGGAAAACAAATGAGGCATCTGTGATATACCTGGAATTACTCTGCGATTATTAAAAAAGAAGCATGTTGTATTATGTTGTATTTAATTGTTTATATTAAGTTTTTTTTATCAAACAAACTTAATATGGAAAGAATTTTTTTTTTAAAAAAAAAAAAGGGTATACTGATTCATGCTTTTGATAGTGGGGCACGAGCGCATTACAATCAACTAAATAAATAACCAATAACGTATTCGGAACATTTTGACTCAAACATTTCGTGCTTTTGAAAATAATATTATTTATTTTAGTTTCTTTTTTAAATTTAGAAATTTAGATAACATTTTACTGTGTAGAAAACGTTTTTCGGTCCTCGTTTCAAGTTCATTTTAGAAAACGTAAATACATTCATTACATTAGAAATAAAATACATTTTCTCCTTCGAAAATTTCCAAAACTGGTAAGGCGTGTTCGAACAAAAAAAAAAAAAAGGTTCCAAGTCATTCATGTGTAATATATACACTTTGACAATTTAAACAAAGATTATTAAACAAAGATTATTTAACATTCGATATAATCTAAGATTATAATAATTATAAATTGCATGTTTTTTTTTTTTAAAAATAAAAAATTTAAATAAGGCCATATGTATGTATGTATGACAATTATCAAGTTGTTCTAAGAATCCCATAAATTCCATGTATTAAATGGTCTCGTAAATTAGCGGAAATGCAGTATCGGTATTATTAATATTCGTTGGAAAATAGAATAATATATTTCGGATCACGGATAAACTTGTCTGAAAAAAAAAATTGATGCAACGAAAAATTTTTTGCCTCTCTGTTTCGGTCGTTTATTTGAATCTCAATTAGAAATAACATCAAATATTTACCTACATTCGCATCCAACGAGACTAAACTCTAATTATTCTCGTTCAGCTTAATTGATATTAATATATGAAAACGTTCAATTGAGATGTTACGAAATTTAGATGATAGGTCAAAAGACTTTTACCATACATGCAAAATTATTATTTTAATAAAACAGTAAAAATAATGTTTTGTCTGTATATATAAACATGTGTAATTTTCATTGTAACAATTATTTGCGTAAATAAATGATTATATACGGTTTATGTTGTAAATGAAGGGCAATGTACAAGATATACAAATAACGATTTTTTTTTTTTTTATGAATTTAAGCCGAGATATGGTGATTACAAATAAGAATTGATAAACGTGATTGGCGACTTGATGACAAATTGCTAATAATTAAATTCAAGGATCTTTTTTTTTAGTTGATCTTTCGGCTAATAATAATTCAAATCGGTAAAAATTTGTCGTCGTCAAATTTAATCCAAATTGACCAATCGAACTAACAATTTGGTACGTTTGTATCACATGATCGGTATCTTTCAATGAAACCTTATTTCGATAAATTTAAATCGATAAATTAAATCAATTAATTGTTTTAATTGAAATGTAACGGTAACGGTAACATTGAAACAAATAATCAGGTTAAAAAAAAAAGGTAAAAAATGAAAAATGAAAATGAAATCAACTTGCTTAATTGAGTGTAACGTTCAAATTGCATTGAATGTTACAATTATTTAAAAGTTTCCTTTTAAGCAAATTTTGAACAATCAGGTTTCCATTGTAATAATGGGGTACTGGAAATTGAAAAGAACGTTTCACTCCACCCTGCATTCGTATCGACTTTTGAGGTGTACCGGGGTAAAAATCAATCAATAGACCAGATTTAGCATTGTTGCTTTTAATTTTGGTCAAACATTCTTCAAATTTTATATTTATTGGCCCTTGACGATCGTAATTACGTTACAAAACTACCTTTCCTATTTCGGTAAAATCTCATTAGTATGAAATGTGATTTTTTAATTTCCACATGCCTTTCATCCTTTTTCTACGTTTCTCTATTCACATTCTTTTTAATCTAGCAATGGTATTAATAATGATTTCCATTCGATATTTATGCAACATCCGATATAAAATACTTTAAATGTTGAAAACTTGAATTCTTTCTAACGGATGTATATTCTAATACTGTGGCGGAAAACAAAATCTTTATGTTTAGCATTCTTGTACTGATTCTAAAGTTAAATTTTTATATATTTATATTTTAATCACAACCTAATGTAATGTATAACTTACTTCAACTTTGTTATATACATGTATTTGTCCTAATTATCTGAAGGAATGATATTTTTATTTCCTTCTTTTGACATAGCACTTTATTATTTTGTATGGAATTTGGGTGATCTAAATATTGTTCTGTTAGAAAGAAAAAGTTAGAAAATAAATAAAGCTGGATAAATAAGCAAGCGTTTCTTGGATTGTGAATATTCTGGAAAAGCCTTAAATAATCATACAAACATTAATCAGCGTAATAAAGGTTCAAAAGAATATCAATCTTTCAAAGCCATAAAAATCTTAATGAATAAAAGTCGGTATTTTGTTAACAACACAAAAAAATCGATTAATGTTTCAATTTTCAATCTATTATTTGCAACTTTGACAGTTACTTACACCATTTAGCTTTGCCGAGTCGCAATAAATTTCAAAGCGACGAGGTGGAATGGGATCGTTGTTTCGCAAGGTTAGGATTTATTTTATCACTACCAAATTTCATGAAAATCAGATCAAGCTTTTATATTGAGGCTTTAACCTCAAATATATTATAATTTTTTAGTAATCATAATGGTGAAATTATATTCCAAAATTTGACTTATAGAATCTGGAGAAATCCAAGATCTTATCTAAGAAACCAAATATGTTCCACCATTTTTGGTACTACTGCACTGTGAAACCGTGGCAAATCCAATATATGAATCTCTTTCGGATAAGTTTTCTCATACCATGCAGTAGGTTATGAACAACTGATCAATGTCGCGTATGCTTTCTAAATGAACTAATCTATAATATATTTCGTATTTGGAGCATTGAATATTTTTAATTAAGTTACATTTGTAATTATACATGTTTGTGTAATCCCCTACCCTACTATCACGATTTCTAATCAATAAAGAAAATTATTAACTTAAAACGACATCTCTTGAATGAATTGATAAAAAAAAAAAATTTCAAATAAACATTGACTCCGAAACATCTTTAAAAAAAAATTGCTAAAAATTTTAAAAAAATAGTCACTTTCTCTTATAAAAGCACCCGCAGCTTAGTATCTAGCGATGATTTCCTCCTTTCGAAATAGCAATCTAAATTTAGATGTATTTACTAAGTAAGTTAGTTCGGTTAATGAGGTTAAGAATCTAATCGGGATCGAAATTTAATATTTTATAAACAGATTGCCGGGAAGTTATAGGTAGGTTAAAAAATTTTCTTCAATGTTTTTATCAACTCGAGATATTATAAAATAAAATCCGAATCCCCCTACATTAGAAAAGAAACCTTGTATAATTTTGGGGAAAAATAAAGTTACACAAATTTCAATTGTCAAACAATTATTTATCGAGATTAACAAAAGCTCAATTGTAACAATTGTAAATCAAAATTGATTATTAATGATCCCTTTCTCATTAATAAATAATGTATTTCTTTGTAATTTAAAGAAATTTTAGTTTTTTAAAATTCTTCAACGAAACCTAATGCAAATATTTTCGAATACTTTCCACTACACTAAAGGATGATTAAATACTTGTCATTATTTAAATTAGGAAAAAATGAATGTTCAACAATAACCGATATAAATTCTATTGCTGATCCATCTGTTCCAACTTCACCTTCATCAACTTCAATTACAACTCCAATTTTACCAAAAGATTTACGATAATTTGAATCCATCGGAACGTAGGGTTTACACTCGTCTAAACAGAGACGAGGATAGAATGGCTGTTCTTGAAATGATAAAAGCTGCGAAAAAGGAAGAACGTAAAAAGGAGCAATTTCTATAAATTGACTTCTTCAGTCCTTTATGAGCCACATTTCGAGTAGACTTATAATGCCACTTTTCGCTTAAGGAGACTATATCATGATGATTTTGAATTCTCCGGTCAGTGCCGTAACAAATGTTAGAAAATCCCCACTAACAACCGTTAACAAACCCAACTCTGCATGATCAATTATTTCATGAAGAGTTGAGTGATGAATTTTGGCTGCATACCAGTAATGTATTTATTTAATAAAAAAATAATAGATTTTTAAAACTTCAATTTTTAATTTTATTTATTATTTTTATATGTAAACCATCATATAGATCACTGCCAGTTATGGTGCTCTTATATTTCCATAACAAATCTTTTAATTTCTTTAAATTTATAAATTATTTTTAATAGTCTATCATTAAACAATATCCCCAAACAAAACAATTCGGCACTAAACAAATGAATTTTTTGACAATTTATGATGAATACATTATGACCCTGGATTATATAAAAAGCGACATAAATCATATCGATAAATACGAATATAACTGTCTATTTAACTTGATGGCATTAGTCCTCTTTGAGGACTATAATGACTATGTCAAAAAATATAAAAATAAAATTTATTTTTATATTATTAATTGAGTAGTGAGGCCCAGTTCGTACCAAATATTGGCTGGAGACTCAAGGTTACAAAAATTTATTTTTTTTATTTTATTTTTATTTTTATTTTTATTTTTTCTATTTTTATATATAATATATTTATTTATTTATTTATTTAAGTAGCGAGACCCTGTTTATAAAATATCGGCTAAAGACTCAAGGTTTCAAAAATATCTTTTTTTATTTATTTTTATTTTTCTATTTATTTTTTTTTTTACTATTTAATTGAGTATTAAGACCCAGTTCATATCAAATATCAGCTGAAGACTCAAGTTTTTAAAATTCATTTTTTATTCATTTTTTTTTATTTTTATATTTTTTTATATTTTTTTTATTTTATATAATTAATTGAGTAATGAGCTCTAGTTCATACCTAGAAACTCTTATTTTAAAATCATTTTTTTTATTCATTTTTTTATTTTTCTATTATTTTATATTTATTTATTTTATATTATTAATTAAGTAATGAGATCCAATTCGTATACAATATAAATTGGAGACTTTTATTTTAAAATCATTTTTTTATTCATTTTTTTTTTTTTATTTTTTATTTTTTTATATTTATTTATTAATTGAATAACAAGGTCCAATACATACCAAAAATTGGCTAAAGACTCAAGGTTTTTTAAAAAATACTTTTGTATATATTATGCATTATATAGTATTAATAAAATTATTATTTTATATAAATATATCATTTATTTGCATATAAGTGAATCAGAAAGTATAATATTTAAAGTATTTTATTGTATTGAATATAAAAAAATTGTGTAAGTTTGCAATTAACTCAAATGGTAAAACAATTATAACTAATCTAGTAGCGATAAAAGTATTATAATTATTTTTACACTAAATGTATATTTATTAATATAATTAACTATTTTAGTAAAGAATTACATTCTTTTTTAATATTTAAAAACCAACTATTCAGAGACTACTTCCCAAAATTATTATAAAATATAAACTTACAATTATATAAAAATTTAATAAATATAATAAAATAATAAATATCGAAACTATTCAGATTTTTTGTGAGTGAGTACTAGTGCAATTATTTTTATTTTAATTTCATTTTCATTGTCTATATTCTTAAATTTTTTTCTTTTTAATTCTTCGCTAAAAAATAAAATATAATATTACTTTTGTAATACTATTTTAAATCTTGTAATTCTTTGTAATACTTATCAAATATTTATTTACTAGTCTTATAATTGATTTATTAATTATAATATGTTCAATAGCTAATTTAATATATGCTAATTATATATATAACATATTATATAGAAGTATTATTATAGTTATTTCAAACATTTCCTAAAATTTGAGAAATATATAAGTTTTTGTTATTATTATAAATTTGAATAAATTATCAAAGTAATTCTTCACAAAAGGTAATGCTTTTCATTTATAAATTTTGATAGGGATCGAATTAACATTTATTGAAAGTAAATTTGTTTTTCAAATATAGAAAATAAAGATTTTTTTATTTTTGATATTAATGTATCTGAAGATTTTAATATTTATTATTTAACTATTTAAATAAATAATTTAAGCTTAGATAAATAAAATTATTAAGTAAAATTATTTTAAGATTACATCAGAATTTATCTTATCTTTATATTCTGAGATTTAACATTATTTGCTTAAAATTTCAAAATAATCAGTATGTTTTGTAATTAAGTATTATTCTGTTCATGATATTTTTAACGATTTTAATAATAATCTAAATAAATTAAAATTAATGATATAATAACAATATAATAAATAGTAAAATAATTTAAATATTATTACTTTTGTGAATTTCTTTTCTGCATATTTATCTTTATAACATACTTTCATCCTTGTGAACCAATCTTTAATTATCTTCTATTTTATTAATAATGAATCTATCTTACTATTCATTTCTGAATTTTGCTTAATAATTTTTTTTAACATTTGTGTATTACTATTTTTAAAATTTTTAACAATATTATCATTCAAGTCATTGATTAAAAAAATTAAAATATTAATTATTTTAACAAAAGAAAAAATATCATTACTATCTAAATTAATAGGAGATATACTTCTCTAAGAAATACTACTCAACCTACTTCTTTTTGGTAATGATTGTAAAACACTTATAGGACTTTACTTAACAGAAATCAAATTGTTAAATGCTTCTTTAGTTTTAGTATATATTATAGTATTTCTTCTTAACATTTTATTTTTTTTATGAATAAGATTAATAAAGAATTGTTAAAAGAATTTTTTATTAAATATTTATATTTAGTTGATGAATTAGTTAAAAATATTTCGCTTATATATTTTATATTACAAATTGTATTATTTTAATAATAATTTATAATAATTAAAATGTGAGATGAAATGTATGAAAAAAAAATTTAAGATAATAGTATTTTAAAATTTATTTATTATAATTAATTATAATTAAAATGCAGGATTAATATAGTGTTTGTTAAATGATTATGATTAGCAAATGAAATTATCGAAAAATGGAATCAATTCATTGCTAGATGATTACCTTCTAGAAACTAAAAGGACACGAATG